GGCAGTCTGGCGGCAGGGGGGGAATTGCCGAGGAGAATTTTTTAAAATGTCAGGCTGCCCTGCGATGTGCGATGTCCCATTAACTCCCTCTGGCTTCTGGACTGCGTTTCTCTGAAAGTGGCACCACCGTAGAAACAGGTCACGTGCAGCGTGAATGGACCTAGAAGGTATTATGCTGAGTGGAATAAGTCAGGCAGAGAAAGGCTAATAGAGTATGATGTCACTCATACGTGGAAGCTAAAGAACAAAATACACAAAACCGACGCAGAGAACAGACTAATGGCTGAAAGAGAGGAGGGGGCTCAGGGCCTGGATGAGAAAGGTGAAGGGATTCAGAAGGACAGATTGGTAGTTACGGAACAGTCCTGGAGATAAAATGACAGTGTAGGGAATACAGTCCGTTATACTGTGATAACTCTGTATGGTGCCAGGGGCACTGGAAATACCAGGGGAAACACTTTGTCAAGTGTATGATTATCTAACCACTATGCTGAAGCTAACACAAAATCACACTGAATATCAACTGTAATTTAAAAATGAAATTAAAGCCCTAGCTGGTTTGGCTCAGTGGATAGAGTGTCTATCTGTGGACTGAGGGGTCCCAGGTTCGATTCCAGTCAGGGGCATGTGCCCGGGTTGCAGGCTCAATCCCCAGTGGAGGGCATACGGGAGGCAGCCAGTCAATGATTCCCTCTCATCATTAATGTTTCTGTCTCTCTCTTCCTCTCTCTCCCTTCCAGTCTGCAATCAATAAAAAATATAGTTTTAAAAATATAAATCAGGTAGAGCCCTGAAATTTGTGTTATAGTTACACTTATGATTCATGTTTTAATGAGTAAAAAAATACATATGGATCTTGTAGGTGATAAAATGGAGAATGGTTTGGGGAGCAGCTACAGATTTCCTTAGCCGGGACCCCACCGAGATTGCTTGTGTTCTGTCCTCCTGGGGCAGTAGTTCCCAGAAGGGAGTCCCCAACACCCAGAGACTGGAGGAGGCACCCAGGCTCACACTGGGCCCAGCACTGTGTGTCTGGGAGTGAGAGGCGGCACTTGCACCATTTCAACACCCTTTAGTAACTTATCAATTTGCCAGGAACGGTGCCCAATCAGAGGATAGGATTCGAGGTAAGAGGGGCCCTTTCATTTCAACTAGTCTATTTATTGCCTGTCTCCTGGGGTGGACTGAGAATTTCCATCTACTTTGCTCAAGGCTTACCCTCCACACCTGGCACCATGCCTGGCACTTAGAAGGCATCTAGTAAGTGTGTGCTGGGGAATGAGATGAGGGCTACCCCCCTGGGGAATGCGTCACCTCGTCTCTTAAAAGCCTTCACAACTCTCCTTGGAATTCTCTCTTTTTTAGTTTAAATCTATGGTAACCCTGGCTTAGAAACTCAGAGTGAAAAATCCAGAGTGGGCCAGGAAAAACCCCAATGCAGCAGAGTTATAAAAGGATGTAACAAGCAAGCAAGTATGGGCCCTCCTAATGTTTTGTTCTTTATGCATGTACCAGAGGCCCGATGCATGAAATTCATGCAAGAGTAGGCCTTCCTTTCCCCTGGCTGCTGGCACTGGCTTCTGTCTGGCACTTGGGACCCGGGCTTCCCCGGCAGCCCTGGCTTCGTCCAGGAGGTTGTTGTCTGGCCTAATTGGCATATTACGCTTTTATTATTATAGATATTATAGAGCATCCCTAGAATTAATCATAATGCACTAATAGTAGGTGAGTGTCCAGGGCTATGTTCCAAGTGTTGTTCTACTAGTAAGTGCTCTCTCCCCGTGTAGCTTTTTGTTTTTTTTAATCCTCCCTTGAGGATATTTCTCCATTGATTTTTAGAGAGAGTGGAAGAGAGAGGGAAAGACAGAGAAATATTGATGTGAGAGAAACACGTCTATAGGTTGCCTCATGCATGAGCCCCGACTGGGAAGAAGCCTGAAAGAGATGGTACTTGCCCTTGACCGGAATGGAACCCAGGACCCTTTGGTCGTAGGTCAATGCTCTATCCACTGAGCCAATCTGGCTAGGGCCTCCTGTGTGACTTTGTTTAGCTGAGCGCTCTGAGGCAGAAAGGGGAAGTGATTTGTTCCTGTCCCACAGCTGGAGGTGAAGACCAGGCTTGGGTTCCTGCAGTCTGACACCTGTGCCCACCCTCATCAGCCTTGCAAGGAACTTCCTGGCCCTGTGATCACAGGAAGCTCCACCCCCCCACCCCACCCCATCCCCGCCGGAATCCCCAGGGAGGCAGGGTAAGAGTGCAGACTCTGGGCCTCTGGGAGGGGAGCCTGGAACTCACATTCTTTAACCACCACTCACCTGGCGGTGCAGATAGCACTCAGATGTGCCACATTCACTCCTTGTGAGTTTACAAAACCTCTAGCACCTGCCCTCCTAACCCCCAGGCCGGCCCACTGACCCATAGAATGGAATGGGAATGTGGAGGGAGGAAAGGGAGGGAGAGAGAGAGGAAGGGATGAGGGGAGGAGAGAAGGGGAGGAAGAAGCTGGTCCCAAATCGGGCTCGGCTTCAGGCCAGGGCGGGTCAAGCAGCGCTCTCTGCACCTCTGCCTTGGACGCAGCAGCCGGCTCCCCCCAGCTATGGGGGCAGCAGGCTGGATGACCCTCCGAGGGAGACACCATCTGCCCAGGGGCAGCACTCGGGGCAGCCAGCCCCTGGGACTGGCAAGGGGATGGTATTTATCTGTACCTGAATGTTCTGCACTCTGTCCCCTCAGAGAGGGCGGGTCGTCTCCATCCACACCCTGGGGAGAGCCAGCCAGCAGGGTGAGGGGCAGGTGGCTGGGAGGAGGCGCAGAGACAGGAATCCTGGCTGCAGGGCACTAGGATAATGAAGAACCTTCATGCTACAGGAAGTGGTGTGAGGATGGGCTGCCGGGTCCACTCCCACTTGGGGGCATCCATTGATGGTTCTCTCCAGCAAACCTCAGGGCCACGCTAAGTCTCAGTGTCCTTGTGCATAAAATAAATAATAGTGATTATTAGATGGCTAAAATACTACCTGTGCTTTACTGAACACCACTGTCAGGTAGTGCCTCGAGGCAACAGTCAATCTCCATAACAAACATCTATGAAGTCATTTTCTTCCCCATTTGACAGAAGAAGGAAATGAATCTTAGAGAGGCTAAGAAACCTGCCTACCCAGCCAGCATGGCTCAGTAGCTGAGCATTGACCTATGAACCAGAAGGTCATGGTTCAATTCCTGGTCAGAGTACATGTCCGGGTTGGAGGTTTGATCACCATTGTGCAGTGTGCAGTGTACAGGAGGCAGCTGATCAGTGATTCTCTCATTAATATTTCTATGCAGTGTACAGGAGGCAGCCGATCAGTGATTCTCTCTCATCATTAATGTTTCTATCTCTCCCTCTCTCTTCCATTTTGAAATCAATTAAAAAATAAATTAAAAAAAAAAAAGAAATTTGCCTAGTGTCCAGCAGGTACCCAATGTGACAAGGATTTGATCACAGGTCTAACACCAAAACCTCTTAATAGCTACTGCTTGCTTCTCCAATGTTCCTTCCACTCCTGGTGTCCACGACAAAGTGCCTGAAACATGAGATAGTCATGGTTTCAAAGAAAAGAGGTGCCACTGTCTTCCCAGCCCCACATCTGAGCCTTGATGGCAAAGATGTCTCATTGAGCTCATCTGTGTTCAGCAGGGATTCAGCAAGATCGTGCAGCTCTGTGGACTGAGAGGTTGTCAGTACATAAGAGGTATCTATCCAATGGACCAAGTTTCAGCCCAACCAAGCAGATGTCAAAAACAGGGGTCATGCCAAAACTGGTTTGGCTCAGCGGACTGGAAGGTCCTAGGTTCGATTCCAGTCAAGGGCATGTACCTTGGTTGCGGGCACATCCCCAGTGGGGGAGAGGGGTGTGCAGGAGGCAGCTGGTCAATGTTTCTCTCTCATCGATGTTTCTAGCTCTCTATCCTTCTCCCTTCCTCTCTGTAAAAAAATCAAGAAAATATATTTATTAAAAAAAAAAAGTGTCCTGCTGTTGCCTGCTTTCCCAGAGGGCTAAACTGAGGAGCCCTCTGTGTGAGGGGCTTCAAGGGGCTTTCAAAAACCACAGAGCTTCCTAGAAAATCCAGACCTCCCAGTCCACCTCCCTCTCTCACCTCCCCTTCCCCTGTGTGACCCTCATTCACTCCTGCTTCCATCCCTTCCTCAAACAAGCTGAGCTCATTCCCACCTCAGGGCCTTTGCACTTCCTGCTCCTCCTGCCTCGCAGATGCTCCCTCCGTGTTTCCACCAGCTCCTTGCTCCTCGCCACCAGGTCTCCGATCCTGGTTCTCTCCTCCCAGATCCTTCCTGACCACTCCCTCTAAATCAGCACCCTCAGCCCATTCCTCCCCATCGCGTCTTCCTGCTTTGCTTCCCTATCTGAAATAATCCTGTTCACTGTTTGCTTACGGGCCTAGAAAAGTGCCCAGAGAATGGTGACTCTCAATGAATATGTGCTGAATGAATGAACCAGCACATCCGTGAATAAAAGAATGAGAAATCTTGCAGTTTTTTTTTCTTTTTTTGTAATATGGTTCCAGGAACCCCTATTCAAACCTACCCCCTTCTTTTGGTTAACAAGGGCAGAGACCACAGAAATAACACCGTGGCTGGTAACAACGTAACAACCAGCCGGCAGTTGTAGGCACACACATTGCTGGGCATGGTTCCAGAGCTAAAAAGGCACTAATTGCTTTTCTATAAGGAGGCAGAAGCACAGCCCCTCCGTGGCCTTTAGTCCCGATGGTCTGCATTATCATATCTGTTACCCTGTTAATTGTTCCTGTCTCACACGGCCAGTTTGGGTCTCATTCTGCCCAGGTCTGGGATGGTGACAGGTTCCTATGCAGAGACCACAGGGACTGGGGGAGCGTGTGTGTGTGTGTGTGTGTGTGTGTGTGTGTGTGTGTGTGTGTGTCCACGTGTGCGTGCATGTGTGTGTAAAAGCAGCTGCATTTGGGGAAGGATTAACTCCAGGCCAGACTCCGCTCAGGGCCCCAGGGCTGGCCCTGGGGCGGGAGGGGAGGGGTGGGCCTGGAAGGTGGAGCGGGCTTGGCTTGCATTGGCTGCCTTTTCCAAGACAGCAGTGCCCATGCTTGCCCAGCGGGCCCGAGCAGAGTGAGCCCGAGTCTCCTGGAGGAATGGCTGGAAAAGCCCGCACCTGGGGGACCCTCCCTCCCGGCCCCTCCACGGCAGGCCGCCTCTGGGAGACGCTGGGGGCCGCAGAGGAGTGAGTGGCGGGGAGCAGTGCACCGGCTCACCAGCACCGGGTGGAGAGCAGCAGGCGAGGATGGAGGCGGTGGACAGCCTCCTCGTGAATGGGAGCAACATCACTCCGCCCTGCGAACTGGCCATCGAGAACGACACGCTCTTCTGCCTGGACCGGCCCCATCCGCCCAAAGGTAGGCGGCGGCCGAGGCCACCCTTCTGATTCAGAAAACTCCCAAGGAGAGGGGGAGATCAGCACGAGGCGAGGCTGGCAGGGAGGGCAGGACCCCAAAAGCCGTCTGGGCAGAAGTTTGGCGAAGAGATCAGAAGGCAGGAGGGAGTCAGACACTCTCTGTTGCCCTCCGTCAGGAGAGAGGGGATTAACGGCGGGACTTGGGGGAACAAAAGCAGAAAAGCAGTTGGAGGAGGCGCTGGAGGGGAGCAGAAAGGCAGTGCGAGCGAGCGAGCGAGCGAGTGTAGACGCTCCAACTTACAAGCCTAGCAGAAAAGGTGCTGTCACGAGCCAGCTGTCCCCTTTTCTCGGGGCGAATCCGGGGCAGAGAAGTGATTAACGCTCAGCGGCTCAGAAAGAAAGCCGTCCCTTCTCCCTGGGGAGCTTTGTCCTTAAGAAAAAAAGTGGTTCCCCCGGCGATCCCTGCACAAACCAACCTTTCAGAAGCAGCAGAATCCCTCTGCTCGCCTCCCCTCCCTCCTTCCCCCACCACGCTCCCCAGGTTGTCTCTGCAGAATATTGTCAGCATGGGGATGGCTGGGTAATTGATCACAGCCCTGTGTGTGTGTGTGTGTATGTGTGTGTGTGTGTGTGTGTGTGTGTGTGTGTGTGTGTGTGGTGGGGGGGATCAGGGGGAAATAAGCATTGGCTTCACGTGCTGAGGTTTTAACATGCTGCCCTCGTCCCCTCCACCTCTCCCTCCGGCTGGGCTGGTGCCCGCGCCCCTCCGCAGAGTGGCAGCCGGCCGTGCAGATCCTCCTGTACTCCCTGATCTTCCTGCTCAGCGTGCTGGGGAACACCCTGGTCATCACCGTGCTGATCCGCAACAAGCGGATGAGGACCGTCACCAACATCTTCCTGCTGTCGCTGGCCGTCAGCGACCTCATGCTCTGCCTCTTCTGCATGCCTTTCAACCTCATCCCCAACCTGCTCAAGGACTTCATCTTCGGCAGCGCCGTCTGCAAGACCACCGCCTACTTCATGGGTGAGTGGCAGCAGGCAGGGCTGTCTCTGGCGCTTGGCCAAGACCCCTCAGGGGGCCCCCAGACCTTCCCAAACCCCAAACCCTGGACAGCCTCCGCGGAGGAGCCCTGCTGAGTGGGAAAGACCAAACAGCTGGCTGTGCGGGGCTGTGGGCTCTGGGCGAGGTCACAGGTGCCGGCTTTAGGATGGCTTGGGGCTCACAACAGCTCCCCAGAAGTCCCTCCAGGGCATGCATTTCAGAGGTCTGTTTTCTCATAGTGGAATGAGTGGATAAGAAGCCACGGAAGAGGTTCGTTTCGCTTGTTTCTGTTAGAAAAAGGGGTGCAAGCTGCTCGCTCACGTTCTGGAAGCTGTTGATTGGAGCCCGAGCTCTCCCCAGCCCCAGTCATGGTTTGGGGTGGTGAGGAGGGGGCTTGGGGAGCCTTCCCGTTGCTGCTCTGACTTTGCCAGGGAACCGGGGCTGTTTGAAAGCCCGGGCATCAGAGTGCCGGGTGCCCTGCTCAGGACTCACTTCCCAGACCGTTCCCCCAGAGAGAACAGCCTCCACCCCTGCAGGAAGAGCTGAATTCGCTCCTGGCCGGCTGTGGGGTTCCGAAGTCCACCCCGAGATATGTGGCTCCATGCCTGTGCCAATCGAGATGTTGATGGGGAGGAGGAGAATAGAAATCACAAGAGCTAATGTGTTTTTATGCACCTGGTGTTATGCTAAGTGCTTTTACTCTCATTATCTCATTTTACAAACCAAACACCCTAAGCACAGTTAATTTTCAGACTCCCAGAGGGGGGAGCAGAGGCACGGAGAGGTTAATAATGGGCCCAAGGACACACAGGTGGTATGCCGCAGAGCTGGGATTTGAACCCAGGTCAGCAGGGACCCGGGCGGTGAATGAGCACACTGCTGGCTGCTGTGGCTCTCCCGGAGCTGCACAGAGATGTGTCTCTCCGTTCCCTTGTCTGCACAACTGCCTTGTCCCTGGCCTGTTCTGAGCACTAGTTTGGAGGAAGAGGAGAGGCGGGAAATGGACAGTTTTCAATGATGGGGAAGCTTTAAAAACCTTGGTTTCTCCCCATTGAGGAAGCGGGACCCAGCACTCCGGAGAGGATGAGGAATTCCTGACCTGCATGTCACAGACAATGCCCAGGAAAGTATCCGTGGGTGCCGAAGTCCTCGAAAATAAAAACAGGTGCAAAGGAAAAGGATCCTTGTTAAACGATGAAGCAACAATGATAACCAGCATTCCATGGCCCTTTAAGCTTATGATAATGTTATTTAAGAATCTTCAGCCAGAATACGAGAAAGGAAATCTAAAAATGCCACATAACATAATTTTATGTTATGTGACTTTCGCCTCAGTCAATAATGTGTTTAAACATAAAGTGAGAAGCAAGATAATGCTGCAAGTGCTTGCAATAGTGTAATGGTTTTGTTGGACTTCTGATTTCCATCTCTTCAAATCTTCGTTTTGAGTTCTCTTCAACGCTATTGCTGGCAGCCAACAGGCATCCAGCTCCTACTCTGTAGTCAAAGGGGAGAGCTTGCCTGAGGGAGGGTCTACAGTCGCTGTGGCCCCATCATGCCCAGGAGTTTGGCCTTGCCTCTCACTCCAAATGCCATCGCCTCCTTAGGGTCCAGGGAAGTACAGAAAGGCCAATTTCAGGACATGAGTTTTTATTTCATGGTTTTGGGACTGCAGTTTTCTTTAAGTCTCTAAGAAATATGATGCATATTCTCCCTAGAAAAAGAACATTTTTATACATAGGGCCTCAGATGAATAATTTATGTCCCCAGGCTAAGAACTTTTGCTCCCAAATTCAGATGAAGTCTTAGGTGTAATATATCACTGTGAGATATAATCAGAAGGTTTGACAGAATCCACAGATGAAGAATTAAGGGAACTCTAAGGGGAAACAACAGTAGAATAAGCAGACACACACAAAACACCAAAGTTAAGGGAAATTAAGCTTCTTTGACTCTACTTCCGTACATCATCTTAAATGAGACATTTTGATGTCTTGCTCAGTGATATTACATACTTATTCTACAAAATGCAGAAAAACAAGAAGAACGAGAAGGAAGATGCTAGACTTCCATGCAGACTAACCTGTAGTTACAGGATGGAATTTTTCCTCTTCACCTTTTTTATTATGGGTGGGTTTGTTTTGTTTTTTTTCAACAAGCTACATTTTGAAGTTTAGAATGTCTCACTCTTATAACTAGTCTGTATTAGAAATTTTCAGAAAGTTTTAATGCCTTTAGCTCAGTGACCTTTTGGGGTCACAGTCCTTGAGAATCTGGGTGATAAGGTCAACTTAACTAGGCAGATGGTGCTCAAAATGAGAGCTTTTCTGTGGGTTACTCCCAAGTTTCCTATATGGCGTAGGAATTAATTATTAATTAATGAGCACAGTCATCCTGAGAAAAAGTGAGATTGTAATCAAGGTCCGATGTACTTATCTGAGCATTGGCAATAAGACGTTTGCACATACATTTCTTTGCTTGCTTCCTTCAATTCTATTTGGAACAAAGCTGGGAATAAACCATTTAAAAAAAAAATATATACACACACACACACACACACACACACACACATATAAGATTGCTTTACCCTTGGAGCAATTTCCTTTGATAGCAAACCCGTGCAGAGCAGTTATGCGTAAGCGAATGTGCAAATAAGCTTAGGATTTCAGAGCCGACCAAACCGACCGCTTTGTCCCTCCCCAGGCACGTCTGTGAGTGTATCCACTTTCAACCTGGTCGCCATCTCTCTGGAGAGGTACCGTGCGATCTGCAAACCCCTGCAGTCCCGGGTCTGGCAGACGAAATCCCACGCTCTGAAGGTGATCGCTGCCACCTGGTGCCTCTCCTTCACCATCATGACTCCGTACCCGGTTTATAGCAACTTGGTGCCTTTTACCAAAAACAACAACCAGACGGCGAACATGTGCCGCTTCCTGCTGCCAAGCGACGTGATGCAGCAGTTCTGGTAAGATCCCCAGGTGCCCGTTTGTTTGGTGCAATGATGGACGTTCTTATAAAAACCCGGATGTATTGTCCAGAGTGCCCGGATGGTCAGTTTCCTGTAAACCTTTGGAGAAGAATCATCCTGACCTCTTTCTAGGACAATAGTGATAGCAGACACTCAGTGCTCTGTTTAAATGACATGTGCATGTTCATTCCATTAACCTTCTCAAAACCTAGGTACTGTTATTGCCCCCATTTCACAGATGAGGAAACTGAGACGCAGAGAGGTTAAGTAGACTGTTCGGTCCTGAGCCGAGCTGAGACGGAGCCTCGGTGCTTGTCCACTGGGCAGTGTGTTCCCGGATCGTCTGGTGGGGGTTCGGGCTTGATGGCGGGGCGGCTATGATTCTCTAAGAATTGAAGATGGAGTGAGGATGAGTCTTGGGCCCCGTGTGGTTTTCTCAGAGCTGCAGTGATGATACTTGCGCAGAGCACTTGGCTGAAAATAAAAAGGCAAGATTTCAAGCCTGTTTCTTCGCGGGGTGATGCTGCACAAGTTTACGTAAGCTCTCTGAGACAGAAGTTCTTTATCTCTTCCAGGGTTTCATGATACAGATTATTTTTATCTACCTCATCGGGTGGCTGTAAGATTCCAATAAGAGCGCATAAGTGTGTATAAAGATGTCATTAAATATCTTTCAAAAGGCTACACAAATGCAGTGTATTGTGTTTACTAATTCAAAGCATGCTTTACAAGCAGGGAGCTAGACATTTAAAAATGCTCAGAACTGAGATAATCTGCTTCCTTTTTTTTTTTTCTTCCCATTTCAACTCAGTAATACACACACACACACACACACACACACACACACAAGCATTGTGTTGCAAATGAGAGGGACATGAAAAGAAATCTTATCAAAACATGTCCAGTTGAAATGAGAAATGGCCCAGCCACCCGGAGCCTCTGACAATTTTATGGCCTCATTACGTAACCTTCCACATGCCAGGCTGCAGTGACTGAGGGGCCAGGCTCATAAAAGAGGAGGCCGTGACATTCAGGAAGCAGATGTGTTTGGAGAAAGCACAGCTCTGCCCATCAGGCACCCGAGTGGGCACACCCCATGCCAGAGCGCCACAGCCAACCAGAAAGTCATATTTTGCAAAACAAAGCAGGCTTGCCACCATTCCTACCTGTGCTGGTGGTTACTTACTAGCCAGCAGATGGCATAGTGCTAGGCCTAAGAGCACAGGTTATAGAATCATGTTGCTTGGGTTCGAATCCCACCTTTCCCACTGGCTGTGTGACTCTGGACAAGTTACTTAAGTCTCAGTTTCCTGACTGTAAATGAGGCTTTACAATACTCCCTACCTCAAAGATTATGATGGGAGTTAAATGTAATAATAGCTAAGAAAATGCTTACCCTAATGTGTAGCACGTTTAATAATTCCTCAATGAATGTAAGCTCTTGGGGTTTGTTTTATTTGTTGTTGTTGGTTTTGTTTTCATTTTTTTTTCTTTTGATGATTGCTTTATTAAAATAAAATTCACATATTTTTTTTTCTTAAGCTCTCATTTTATATGTAGACTTGTCTCAGGCACAAAACATTTTCAATTTAACAAATCCTTCATAAGAGACTTGATCAGAAAAAAAAGAAAAGAAGCAAATAACTTCAGATGCCTGACCCTCCAGACATGGAATTTCCAAGGATAGGAAATGATGGTAACGACCTTGTTTGCTCCAACCAGTTTGAAGGGAGATGTACCTTATTGATTCTGTCCCATCTGCGCTGGGAATACTGGACTGCCGGTTATTGGTTTTCTTTTTATTTCATTAGGCACACGTTCCTGTTGCTCATCCTCTTTCTGATTCCTGGAATTGTGATGATGGTGGCATATGGATTAATCTCTTTGGAACTCTACCAAGGAATAAAATTTGATGCTAGCCAGAAGAAGTCTGCTCGAGGTAACTGTCTCTTAGCTGTCTGTTTATGCCAAAAGATCACACAGCGTGGTTTCTGTCACGTAACTAGACACCCCCGTGGTCTGATGGGGTTTTTCACAAGTGCTGTCAGACTGGCCAAAACCGGTTTGGCTCAGTGGATAGAGCATCAGCCTGTGGACTGAAGGGTCCCAGGTTCGATTTCGGTCAAGGGCATGTACCTTGGTTGCGGGCACATCCCCAGTGAGGGGTGTACAAGAGGCAGCTAATAGATGTTTCTCTCTCATAGATGTTTCTAACTCTCTATCCCTCTCTTCCTCTCTGTAAAAAAATCAATAAAATATATTATATATATTAAAAAAAAAAAAAAAAGTGCCGTCAGACTGTGGCATGAGGCACAGTCTCGAGAGCAAGCATCTCTGGCTCCTCCTCTGAGCAACAGAGAAATCACTCCTCTCCCAAGGTGGCCGAGTGGAATAACATGAGCTAATTAATACACACAGACCCCAATGGGAAGCCGAGGGCCGGCGTGCCCAGACTCTCTGTAATGTTGTATTCAAATGGACACCCTTCAGCTGCTGACGTTCATTGTAATGCTAGCCCCCCAGCCTGTCCCCTCCCTTCACTGTCCCATTGCAATCGCCACCAAGCCTCCCCCGTCCCCATCCATTACAGCCCACTGCCCCCTGGAATTCAACCGACACCTTTGCTGTCATAACTCTTCGCCTCCATCTTTCCCAAGCGTATAACTTGGTCTCTCCAGCCTCTTTGGTGTTTGTTGCTTGCTGCTCACCGTCCAGATTCCTCATGTAAATGTGGTCTGGAGGCTTAGCAAGTGAGCAGCAACCTTTCCACCAAGAAGGCAGGGGAAGAAGGACAAGAGTGTGAATATTCATTCTTCCATCATTTTTTAAAATATATTTTTATTGACTTCAGAGAGGAAGGGAGAGGGGGAAAGAGATAGAAACATCAATGAGGAGAGAATCACTGATGGCTGCCTCCTGCACACTCCCCACCGGGGACTGAGCCCACAACCCAGGCATGTGCCCTGACCAGGAATCCAACCTACTGGTTCCTAGGTCGATGCTCAACCACTGAGCCATGCCAGAGAGAGGGACAGAGAGTTAGAAACACCAATGAGAGAGAATCATGGATCAGCTGCCTCTTGCACACCCCCTACTGGGGATGTGCCCCCAACCAAGGTACATGCCCTTGACCGGAATCAAACCTGGGACCTTTCAGTCCACAGGCCGATGCTCTATCTACTGAGCCAAACCAGTTTCGGCAAGGCCCGGTGATTTTTAAGCCTTATAATTTACACATATAAAATGCTGTTTTATTTTGTATATTACGCGTGTCACATATTGCACACGTTGTTTTATTAGCTTTAAGTAGCTTCTCATCGGTAGGAAACGGTAGTAAGGTCAATGCTGCCCCATGTGGCCTGCCCCATCCTTCCGTTCATGTTTGACGGCCCCCTACTTGGAGGGGGTGCTCGGCCGCTGGGCGGCATGGCCCGTCCTGAGCAATAAGCGGTGTCCAGAGGACTTGTGTGCATGCATATGGGGATAATCAGTGGCCATGGACAACAGGGGGGTGGGGGCATATGTGGGGAGAGGTTTGGGATGGGAATGGGGGGATGAGGGCAATTATGTGATACCATAATCAATAAAAAATAAATTAAATTTAAATTTTAAAAAAATAATAAGCGGTGCCCTTGCCCACGCAGAGAGGAAGGCGAGCACGGGCAGCGGCGGCGGGAGGTACGAGGACAGCGACGGCTGCTACCTGCAGCGGCCTCAGCCCCGCCGGCAGCTGGAGCTGCAGCGCCTGTCCATCGCCAGCGGCCGCGGGGCCAGCCGCATCCGCAGCAGCAGCTCCGCCACCAACCTGCTGGCCAAGAAGCGGGTGATCCGCATGCTCATGGTCATCGTGGCGCTCTTCTTCCTGTGCTGGATGCCCATCTTCAGTGCCAACGCCTGGCGCGCCTTCGACCCCGCCTCGGCCGAGCGCCAGCTCTCCGGGACGCCCATCTCCTTCATCCTCCTGCTGAGCTACACGTCCTCCTGCGTCAACCCCATCATCTACTGCTTCATGAACAAGCGCTTCCGCCTGGGCTTCCTGGCCACCTTCCCCTGCTGCCCGCACCCCGGGCCCCCGGGGCCGCGGGGAGAGCCGGGGGAGGAGGAGGGCATGACCATGGGGGCGTCTCTGTCCAGGTACTCCTACAGCCACATGGGGGGCAATGCCCCCTGAGGGTGGAGGCAGCAGGGGTGCTGGGGAAGGGAGAGGAGGAGAAAGCAGGGATGAAAAGGGGGAGAAGAGAGGCTCCCTTCCAGGGGGAACTCGCCATGGCTGCTCTTCCTCCTCCCTCCTGGTTGGGGACGGGCCCTGGCTTGTTTTCCTGAGTTCGAGGCATTTTCCCTAACATCCTCCGCAGGAAACCTCAGCAGGCGGGGCACTGAGTCCAGCAGGGTTCATGCTGCCAACGTGATTGCCCAGCACAGGTTCCACCTGGGGGAGAGGAGGTGCAGGGACAGGGGCCCTCCTGAGCTTTAGAAGGTTCTAGGCCATCGAGGGTGGGCTCTCCCTCCTGGCGACACACTTCTGGACTCTGTTTCTGCTGATGCGGAGTCCGGGCGGCTGTTTTGCCCTGGGGAGTCCATTTCTCATGTGTATTCTCTAGTCAACCCCTCATGGTGACCACCGAGGGGAAGAGGGAGCAGTCCCTCCCCTGCTGTTTTCTGTAGGAAGAGAGCAGCTTGGCTTTACCTTCTGGAGGTCCGTCCAGGGCCCGCAGCAACGTGAGCGTGTGCCATCATCAGAGCAGCACAGGACACTGTCCCCAAGATGGAGTTTGGAATTCCTATTTCCCAAACGGACAGAAGACACCAGGCCAAGCCGGTGGATCAAACGGCACCCTACAACAAGGAAGAGTAAGTGCCAGAAGGCATTTTTTCCCACGTTAACGCTGTCTATTGCTTCGCTCCACTTTCATACGGCGACATAAAGCCCCGTGGCTCCTTTGCCTCAAATTAATGTTTCTTACTCATCTGGCACTTCCTCTGTTCCAGAAAGACCTCCAGGTTACAAAGGGGAATTATACAGTCGGTCAGTGTACCTGGCCCGTCGTGGAAACACGTGTAGTCGGGCCCAGAATAGAAACTGGCATCCTTGGACTCAGTTAACAAAAGAGCTTTTGAACGTCGAAGCTGTCTATGCCGTTAAGTGCAATCTACCCATCGGCTAATAATTGTATTGATTTTACGTACATGTGTAAACTGAATATATGTGTTCTTTACATATAAGTATATTCTTTGGTGTGTTTTAAAAAAAAAGTATGTGGAGGCTGGAATTCAGCAGTGTTATAGTTTTCCATTTCTGTTGGAGTTTCATGTGATCATGACGTCTTTGCAACATCAGTGTTGAAATCTCTCGCCTCCAATTTACAAATCTCAAAAGATAAAGATGTGAGCTCTACATTTAGATAACCAGAAATGCCTTTCTTGAATAGACTGTGTCAATCCAGCCTACTAGTACTTCTGTCTTTTGGGGGGTGGGAGCAACATTGTCCTGTCTTCTTAAATAAATTAACACAGGCATTTTTAACTAAAACAAGTTTACATGCTAGCGTAGGTAAAACAAAACAAAACAAAAGACAAAGCAAGCTATAGCTTCCATGGTTCCATGCATTTAAGAAGTGAGCTTTTTTTCCTTTTTTCCTTTTTCTTCTTTTCATGGGGCCTGACATGTTACTTCATAGCACATAAGGGCCAATGGTTTCGATTATTGAAAAAAAAAAATCACTGTGGAAGAGAGAAAAAAAGGAGAATGGCAAGAAGGGATAATGAATGGGGGTAGGGACATTGTCTAATTTAAGAAGATAGGAGTGTCACCATTTTTTGGGGGGTGAGAGGATAGTCACATACTAAGGGACAAGAAGTTTGAGGACATAATTATTTATTATAGGAGACTTTTCAAGTCAGATGTTGGTTTTTTTTTTCTTTTCCTCAAACTGCAATATAATGTTAATATTCATGACCAGTCATCTCAAAGATTTCAAAGTAAAGATTCAACTGCTAACATGGTAATGATAAAAGGAGAAAGAAATTGCAAATGTCTGTAATATTTGAGTAAATCCGACAAAAGCTACAATTTTTCTACTAGAAGAAGCCTTCCCCTCTGACAGTGTTAGCATATAAATGAAAATAAGTGAGGCCCCCATTCTTGGGAACCTCTGGAATGTACTGCGGTGTAGTAACCTAAAAATAGGTTGCTATGTTTAGCAACTAAAAATACAAGATGTCTGATTAAATTCTAATTACAGATAAAATACTTTTTGGTGAGAGTACCCATGTCCCATGCACTAAACACATTCCTATCAAGTAAGTTTTGACTCACATAAAGATATAAACAAGAGTTCCCAGATATAGGCCAATAAAATAGCTCTCTTCACTAAATTTCTTGGAAGGTCTTTCACATAGTAAAAGCTTTTTTTTAAAAAGAAGAAGAAGAAGAAGAAGAAGAAGAAGAAGAAGAAGACGACTATTAACTTTCAGAACCTGTGCCTGACCTTTGGGAATGGTAGTATCAACAGACTGATTTTACTGTTAAATTTATTTATTTTTTGTTAATCCTCACCTGAGGATATTTTTCCCATTGACTTTTTAGAGAGAATGGGAGGGGAGAGACAGAGAGATATACATCGATGTTTAGCAAATTAATGGGTTACCTCCCACATGCACCTGAGGGCCGGGGACCTGGCCTTCAACAGAGGTACATGCCCATGACTGGAATCGAGCCTGAGACCCTTCAGTCTGCTGGGCGATGCTCTAACCACTGAGCAAAACAGCTAGGGCTCTTAAAATAAAATAAACACACACACACACACAAAAAAAACCCCACATAAATCTGTGCTAGTATTTTGTTGTGTCAACTGCCTTTATTTCATGCCAAGTGGATTGTCAATTGGAATTTGAAGTACAATAACCAGTAGAGTCAATAGACTCACCAGTTGCTGGTATTTTCTAGTGTCTTCTGGTAGCTCCCACTCATCCACAGAGTGGTAAGTTACAACTTGAATGTGTCTTTGATCTTGTTAAACCATGTGTCCCAGTGGCTTCCTCGCCCTAGTTACTGCGGTGATCTCTCATGTAAACGTGTAGTGATGAGTGCACAGCTAGTGCATCTGTGTGGTTAGTTACACAGGTTTGTGTGTGCTTAGCAAGTGCCTCCTCCATTCGGTTAAAACGTAATATTCATGAGGCCAGTGACGGTAGCTGCTAAACCTCCACTGTGTTTCCTTCAGTGTTTTGCCCGGTACTCTGCACAAATAGTACTGGGTGCTCAATAAATCTTGTGCCTGATTCCACTCTGCCGCCTGTGATTTTGGGGGGGCTCTCTTTCCGTCCACGGTGGTGATTCTCAGCAAGGAGGGCACATTCTTGGGATGGAGGAATAGCACCAGAATTTCTAGAGGGCTTTTCCCAGCTCCGCGTGTATCCCCACCCAAGATTCGGCTGTAACTGGAGATGTTTCTAATGGGAGGGTGTTAACAGTGTAAGACACAGATAAGAAAGTGTTGGGGAAAAGGACAAATACTGTAGATTCCACTCAGTTGAAATATCCGAAGTCATCAAAATCATCTAAACAGAGCAGAAAGGTGGTTCCTTAGGTCAGAGGAGGTGGGGGGGGGGGGGGGGGGGAGAGGGGGTAGTATTGAGTGAGTACCGTATAGCCTTTCAGTGCTGCCAGATGAAAAACTTCTCTTGTACAACAATGTGGAGATACTTAACACGACTGAACTGTACACTTAAAAATAAGTGTAAATTATTTGTGTAAGATGGTACATTTTTATATTATGTGCTTTTAACACAATTAAAAGGGGAATAGGAAGTGGGAACCACTAGCCTGCGGTATCTCTTGCTTTGCTCCTCCTTGCCTTTTTCCTTTTTTTTTTTTTTTTTTTTTTTTTTTTACAGAGAGGAAGGAAGAGGGATAGAGAGCTAGAAACATCGATGAGAGAGAATCATCGACCAGCTGCCTCTTTTTCACCTCCTACTGGGGATGTGCCTGCAACCAAGGTACACGCCCTTGACCAGAATCGAACCCGGGATCCTTCAGTCCACAGGCTGACGCTCTATCCACTGAGCCAAACCGGTTTTGGCTGCCTTATTTTTTTTTTTTTTTTTTTTTTTTTGAGGACAGCATGGAGACACCATGACCCCCTTTACTGCCCACAAATGCCGCCTCTGAGGAGGAAGAGGATGCACTCTAGCCAGAAAGCCCAGCACTCTGTGTCCAAACCTTAGCCTTGCCACACTACCTTTTGTGACTCGAGGCAAGTCACACACCCTGTCCGGTGTCTGTTTCCTTGTGCAGTTGAGGGGTTGTTGCTTCATCTCTGAGTGATCAGTGGGTCAGGATTTGCTATGTTCCTAGATTATCCCACAGCTTCCCTGAATCCATGGCATCCCATCAACTTCGCAATCAGAGAAGCCCCCTGATGCCCAAGGTTACATACCAGTAACCATCTCTGAGGACTTGACTTCCAGGACAGCCCAAGGGAAGGCTGTCAGGGCAAGAAAGGAGAGGCCCACGGAGGAAACTGATGGCTCTCAGCCGCTCGGTCACCACCACCCAGAGCAGCTTCCGGGAGGTGAGTTTCTGGAACACCGGCTGCATGCCTGTGGAAATGTGGGCATGAAACTCACTCCCACAATGAACTTGGTCTGGGTGCAAGGGTGAAATCGTTACTAAAACCTGCTTTGTGCAGTGTGCACGTTGCTGGTGGCAGCAATCACTCCTAGAGGAATGAATGAATGCCTACTCATTATAGTTTCTGATTTAATTCTCAACATGACGCATCATGTTCCACATCTCACAAGTAAGGAAATTAAGGCTCAGGGGAGCTGATACATGTCCATGATTAGGGAGTGAGGGGATGACAGGGACAGGATGGAGCCCCATTCTAATTGCCAGCAGGCTGCCCTGGGGATTAGGTGACACTGAACAGTCTAAGGAATCAATGGCTGGCGATTTTCCTTCCTAAGGTGCTTCACAGCTCCTCACCCCTATGCTACAAGGACCCCAAGGAAGAGATACCCATCTGTGTTCCCGCCTTCCTCCTCCCCCACCCTGAGCTCCTTGGATCTGGAGGATTTCACAGCTGGCTCCCTGCACGTGGGCCCTCCCTGCTTCCATCCCTGTGTTTATTTTTAGAAGGAAGATAACAAGCCCTTTGCCACCTCCCTGGGAAGCCAAGAGATACTATCAGTCAACAAGCTTCCACCTCTCAGGCAAATTGTCAGCCTTGTTAATGTAGATCTAGTTTCTCTGGAAGCACCATGGGGGAGGCAGACACAGGCCAACTTATCCATCAGCCTGAGGACTGAAACCCCTGGTCTGCCATGCAGCAGTACTTTTTTACCAAGTCCCCCTCCCCTGGAAGTCTGCTCTGCAGATTGTTGTTACCTGCAGGCCACCACTAGAATTCCCCAAACCCCTAAACCTGTCATATCTGAAACGGAGCTATTGTCATATCCCAAGTCGCTTCTCCTGATTCTCTCTGCCTGCTTGTGGTACCCTCACCCTCCCCTCCCCCGCTCAGAT